CCTCTACGCCATGCCTTCCCCCACCCCTTTCCCCGGCTCCAGACTGTTTATTTTTCTTTTCTTTTCCTTTGCCTTGCCCCCTGGGCATTCCCTGCATCTCCAAGTTTTTCAGCATCTCTGTCGGGCTTGGAGATTCTCCCCACACTCTGGGCATTCCTCATGTCTCCGTCGGGCTAGGGACTTCTTCCCATGTCTCCATTGGGCTTGGGGATTCTTCATGCTGAGCTCCATCTGCTCATCTGGAGCTGGCACTCGCTCCAGAACAGCCTCTTCCTCCCCACTGTCTCCCAGCATCCTGAGGCAAGTCTAAGGGAGACTGTTTTCCCTGTGGGGAAAACAGTCTCCTGCCTTTGCTCCCCTTCACACACACTCTGCATTTACACAGTGTAGTACTTTAAAGAATAGTAACACTGTGTAGTCCTAGTACTTAGGTGGTTCTTTTCATTCAGGTATCTTAAAGTGCTTTATGAACATTAGCAAGCATCACTGCAGCCACCTTGCAGCTGAGGACACTTAAGTACCCAGGTCATTAAAATGCAAAAATTATATGCATGTCATAGTTTCATAGTTGATAGAGTTGGAAGGGACCTGAGTAGATCACCAAGTCTGACCCCCATTAAGGTTGAGTTCCTCATGGAAGTTGTTCAAATCCTGGTTTTCCAAAATGCTGAGTAAAGAAAAAGGAAGGTTAGAATCAGGTAGCTGTTTACATGTCCATTGCTCCCCCAACCACAGCAATGTGTGGAGTAAGGGGGACCATCTAGGGTTGTCAACCTTCCAGGATTGCTCTAGATTCTCCAGAAATTAGATATAAATCTCAAGGAGATTGCTGAGAATTGCTGGGGAGATAAATGATGGGGCATTCATTCATTAAAATAAATATTACATGTTGAATCTGATTTATACAGTAGTCCAGTGGGATTTTAAAATGTAATAGTAATGTGTATTAGTCTTCATGACCTAAAGTCATTAACGTCATTATGTCATGTGATGAAACCTCCCAGAACAGATTCTAAAAGAGTTAGCAATCGTATTTCCATCCTTTCCTGGATCATCAGTCCAGCATTAACTCTTCAAGAGGCACATGGGGATGGAAGAACCAGGAAGATAATTTTGTCTGTTCCCCTGCTTCAACACATCCTCCATCTATAGGGTAAATGAAAAATGGCTTAGCCAAAAAATCTGATGCCCTATCCACTGTTCCAAACCCAAGCCTAGCTCTTTTCTAATCTCTGCCACCTCTGTTCTTGCATCTGTTCTGCTGTTTCTGGAGAAATGCCCACACCCATACAGCCTTTCTTTACCATACCTGTATTCTCTCCTCCCCCAGCTCTGAACTTTCCCATATGAGATAAGTCACTTATGTCTCGATTATTAAAAGTGTCTGTTCAAATAGGCTAGTCAGTTTGAGACACCCAACACACCTCCATCCCTCTTATTCCCTCTCCATTTAGAAAGACAGGGTCCTGAGAATAAAAGGGGGAAGTGACCATCCATAACAGATAGGCTGTTCCATTTGCTGCTCCTGGCCAGAGTGGTGTTCCAGAAATGGGAGATGACAGGGATTTCTCCTTTCAGGTCATCCTTGTAGTGATTAATATAGCCTCTTCCCTAACTGCAGAAGCTCATGTATTATGTAACCACTCATCCATCGTCACCCCTTCTCTTCTGTTCCCCCAGTATTCAGCCTCTAGAAACACTCAGCTCCAGGGAACAATGTGCCACAGCCCGTCATACTTTGTGGCTGTAGAATTCTCCCCTCCCTCCTTGCCCTGAGAAGCAGAGAACTTTTTTGAGGTTACTATTAGACATTTGGGCAATCAGGTGGCATCTTGAGACAAAAGACTGGTGCAGTCACATATCCTCTTTCTCCCCCTTCAGTCTCCCATCAGTATCCTTACTGATCCCTCTGAACAGCCTGCTGTCTAATAGTCTCCTGGAACACATCCAGACAAGCACTCATGTGCATTTCCCTGGGGACAAATAGCAGCAGCACATAGTTGTGCACGGCTACTTGTCCCTGGGGAATGTCTGTGCATGTGTGCTCTGGTGCATGGCAAGTTGCCAGGAGTAGGGTAGGGTAGGGGAGGCTGGAGCCAGCATCCCTGGTTGGTCCCAGCAGCTTGTCCTGGGATCCTGGGGCCTCCCAGGGCTCCAGCAGTGGTGGTCTGGCATCAGGGAGCCTGGCCAGTGTAGCAGACAAACTGAGTTATGCTAAGGCTTTTAGCTATAGTCCAGTCCTTCCCAGAACTAAGCAACAAAATTGAACTGGGCACTTCCTGTGGCACTGGGAGATGTGAGTGCTGTGATGGGGTACTAGGCAAGCAAGGGACAGCAGGTTCCCTATAAGGAATGTGGCTGGCACAGTGCCAGGGGACTGGTGCATCATATAAGGAATGCTTGGCACTGAGCCAGAGGACAATTTGGGATGAGAGAAATTACAAAAGTGATGGACAAACAAAGGAGGAGGGGGAGGCAAGAGCAGCCTTGGACTTCTTGTCTGAACAGCGAGGAATCCAGAAACTAACACCCCCCACACCCAGCAGAGGATCTGAGGACGGTACCACTGAAGGTTGCTGCTGTAATGCCTGAAGGAACCGCTTGCCTGGTCGTATTGCAAGGAAGAATACTTGTAATAAGCCTAAGAGTTACTATTAAAAGTTCGCTTGATACCAAATCAGACGAAGGCTATGTCAATCCTTTGGGGTCTCTGGTAAAAAGAATCCTAGGGGCAACAGCCGGCAGCTGGAGTGTGACTCTGGCCAGCCAGGCTTTGGTTTTGGGTGGTGCATGCTGCCACCACATGCACCACCCCGCTTTTTTCTAGCATGGGTTTTTTGACACTGGGATCTCCCTGCATGTGCAGTATGTGCGGAGCCACAGATGGGTCTGCAGTGCTGCATACTGCACGTGCATGCTCATCTGGACACCCCCCTGCTGTTCATTATCTCTCAACATGGGTCTTCCAGATACTTATGCACTTCTCCCCATTATTGCTGCTGACAGCAACATCTTCCCTTAGCTAGTCCCTTTCCTCCTTGCTTCCTCTAAATTCTAATTCACTCTACTTCTAATTTCATGAAGCCCCTTCTGACCCTGTTGGACTACCTGCACCCTTTCTCGCAAAACAAGTGCTGCCTGAAAGTTGCTAATTTCTTATTCATTGTTGCTGCCTTTGAAACCTCCCTCACTCAATAGCTTCACTTTTCCCGTCACTCCTTTTGGCAGTATGTGACTCCTCTTTTCTCCACCAGTTTCTGGTCTTCACTTCTCTATCCCATTTAATTTTTTTTTCTCCTCAAGATTGCCCTTATTTTCCATTCTTCAATTACTGATGGCCTGTGTTCAGGGATGGGTACATGATATTAAATTACTTTTGCATGTACCCCAGTGGCCATAGTTATACACCCTTAAATGACTGAATAATCAACAGCAGG